TGATCTAATGGGAACAACACGATGACATCGAAAACAACAGAGTGGAATCGTGTGTCCTGGAAAGGCAGCGGGGAGACGAAGCAAAGGCAAGACCTTCTTGTTCTCAAGTTCATCGCTCCCGCGCATGTGCAAACACCAAGCATTCATGTGCCCTTTCTCCGCATTATTGTCGGCGGTCGCGCGTTAGTAGGACCCTTCTCGCCCTTCTGCCGTCTCCCCTTACGAGACGACGTTCCCGCCCTCCTGTGGGAAGATATACGATAGTACCCACGTTACCGAGCGAGAATATCCATTCGGCTTCCCTGCTCGTTCTCTTTCCTTTCGATTTCTTCTCGCTTCGTAGCCAACATTTTTCGTTTCTTCGCTTCTTTTCTATTCGTTTCGATATATTCGATATAGTTTCCCCGTTTTTCCTAATTCCATTTTACGATATCCCTTTTTTTTATCGTATTATTGTATCAAGAGAAAAACAAGGAAAGAAAATAATAATAATTAATACTACGAATGTACTACGAATGTAGAGAGAAATATATATATATATTACGCGTTACGAAACCCTGTAAAATCATGATTATACATAATTTATAACTAATATATTTATGAAACACCAACTAGGATACTTTTTAAATTCTTGGATATAAAACATCACGTCGTAAATTTGGCGACAAAATATGAAGGATAGTAACTTTACATATTCGTGAAGAATGTAATAATCATATTTGTTACGCTTACGAATGATTTAAAAATTTTGTGAACCTAAGTCGATCGGTTAAAACATTTAGAAGCGCGTCGATAGATCGATAATTGTAACATATATCGAATGTAAGAATCTTTATGTGGGAAAAAAAATTCGACCGATCATTTTTTCGTATTCTTTCATCTTGTCGATAAAAAATAAAGGATCCCTTTGAAAAACTGTATCTTTTATACGAAACAATTTTAACGAGACATTGGTCGCGATTTATGAAGATTTTCTCGTGGCACCGTTTCCAAGAAAAACGTCGCTCAAAAATGATTCCGCACAGTTATTTCGGTTTAACAAAGCCCGGGCTGATTAAATACGCGATCGTGGTTAGCGTGTCGGCAATAAAAGCGTCTCGCCACGTCGTGTTTACGGCTGCTACCCGTCCCGGACAAATCCAACTCTCGCTCCTCGCGTAATGGTTTCGCGGCTGCGTTTGATCGCTAAATTATTTCGCGCTTCTCCTTCCACAACCCCCTTTCTTACCGCTCTAATTTCTATCTTTGTCTTTCATACTCTCGATCCTCTTCGAAAATCGTTTGATCGCAATTTTATATCTTATGTAATATAAGATATAATATAAGATCGCATATTAATTATAATCATTGTCGGTACGATGCCCCGTTTCGTTCGATTCTCGAGGCTCTCGAGCACGGACTTTAGCGGAACAATCACGTTCCATGCATCTGTCATACGCGAAAGATACCACGAGCTTCTTCGTGTCTTTAACGCGATGCCGATACGTTCATTCGCATCGTAGTAATATTCGATACTATTTTCAACCTATTATTTATGTTTTTTATCGTATAAGTAAACGTATAGTCAATTTACGTGTGTTGAAATATCTTTATAAAGATGTATAAAATTTAATCCGTAAATAGCAAAATTATATTAAATTCGCATATAAATGTTTACATACACGACATAGTGATAACTTTGCACGAAATTGACGTACGATTTAAATTTTCAAATTTCAATTGTGCATCGATATATTATTTGTGTCAACTTCTCGGTGACCCGGTAAGTATGATTACAACGACCAATGACGAATTCCTTAACGTCTTCCTATATCTTGTAACGAATGTTGTGTATCGGTCGAAGCGTGGCCCTGGCTTGTTTACGTCGCAACGCAAAAGGGCTTGAGAGAGCGAGAGCGAGAGCGAGAGAGAGAGAGAGAGAGAGAGAGAACGAGAGAGAGAGAGAGAGAGAGGGCCCGAAGCATGGCGAGAGAACGCGCGCGCCTTCGCTGTGGAGCATTTAACGCAGTGGGCGCTCCCCTCTGTCTTTCCCTACCCCACCCCCATGCCTACCGCCTTTTGCCATCTCTTCCTCTGCACCCCTTCTTCCTCAGTCTCTTTCCTCTAGCCGGGTGTAACGAAGACGAACTGCACGTTGCCCCCGGAGTGAATGCACAACGAGGACAGACGAAGCGTGTCTGAGTCGCTGGCCGCCATGACAGAGCGGAATGCATGAGAACGCAGAGCTACTGACCCTCTTGTCCTCCTCGCTCTCCCCCCTCCTCCTCTCTCTCTCTCTCCTCGCTC